ACTGGGAGATGTTTATTTTACAAGTATCAAAGATTAAGAGGTACCTTATTTGAAAGTCTTACGATTCTACTCTTTATTGCTAAGACCTAAAAAATGAGAACCCCCTTCCAGATCCTCCAGTGTCTCCCCAACCCCATCCACCTGATGAGCATTTAAGGAATTTGAAAATGTAGAAAACCAAATGTGAAAGATACGATGACAAGAAATGTAGTTAGATCAAACTTGTAAGTGAACACACTTGCAAGGCCAAATCGGGGCTTTTCCTCTGGTGTCACTACAGGGAAACGACTGCGTAGCTATGTCTGGGGTTTCATTCCCCTCTTACGTGCAGTGTGGTATTGGTAACTGGTAGTGGATGCGTAACAATCTCGCTAGTTGTAATGCCCATTTCCTTCAAATAGCAAATAAAAATGTAACAATTTGCTAAATCTGAATTGTTTTATGAACGTGTTCCTCCAACTGCCCCTGAAAGGCTGCTAGAGACACCATGTCTGTCCCTTGTGCCACTTTTGTTTGGGCAATCCCTGAGAAGGAAAACTAGTTTTACAGTGACTGTTGCATGGTACTTTGCCACATTTGAGTTAAATTTCCTCTAAAATTGATTAGTAATTACATTTTTTTAAATGGCATTGTTATTTGTTAAAATCTAGGAAGCTCCTACCTGATGACATTTGATCAGATGTTTTAATGCCAAGTGACACAATCATTTTAATGATTTGATACAATAATGAAACATTTTTCTTGTTTGTTTTTACCACCATTTGGTATGTCCCCACAGTATCTATACTTCAAAGTAAATCTAAGAAAACACTTGCTAGAAAATCCCCCAATGTTGATTCTCATGTTTGAAAAGTAATTAAACTTCACTTATACCTTTACAATTGATGTATTTTCCCCCACCCCCTTGTTTGAGGAAGTGATGAAAGAAGCAGAGAGGAAACTATATTGGTGAGTTAGCACTTTATTTTCAAAAAACATATTCTTAGAAACCATGGACCTTGACAGACAAGATAAGAACATAGCTTTCTGTACTGCTGAGTGCTAAAACCACCAAGGTAGAAATACCCTTACTTTGTTTTAACAGGTGAAAGTAAGATAAGAGAACAGGATTCCACAATTATACACATTTTCTTTAATGTATCCATAGGAGATAGATTTTCTTTATTGGTAGAGGATCTAGAAACACGGTAGCGCAGAGACAACTGCACAGAACAAGAGATGGAGCCTACGTTCGCGTGGAGGTGCAGCTTTCTGGGTCCTTTCCAGAGCTCCTCAGCGGGGACGGCAGTGCTGACACGCTGCCCTGGAGCTAGGTCCCTCTGGGCTCAAGAAGCTCAAGTCTTGTTCTGCTGTCATTTCTTCCTATTTAGTCCTTGTATCCCGCTTCAGGAGGAACATTTATTAATAAACTGGATACCCTGTCTAGGAGAATTTTGCAGCTCTGAGGCTGTGCTGGGGCCTGGCCCATATTGGCAGCGGCGAGGCCGTCTCCTCTTCCCGAGGCAGAGTGCAGTCAGTGCCCTGCCCAGAAGCCGGCCCTGCAGGGCCCACCCCTCTTTAGTTCAGTACCCTCTTTATCTGGTGATTCTGGTATCAAGCGTCACAGATTCATTTCTTCACATTGTATGTAGGCAAA